AGAGAGAGAGAGAGAGAGAGAGAGAGAGAGAGAGAGAGAGAGAGAGATATCCAAATATAAAGCTTTTGGTTAATTTATACATTTTAATATTTTAATAGGTAAGACCTTATACTCAAAAGGGCCTGTTTATTTCTACCTATGGATTGTGTCAGGCCACCTGGAGCTTGTCCGTGAATTTACTTTTATTGTTTGTTTGGGTTTGTTGTTTGTTTCTGTGGTGCAGTATACTGAGGATTGAACCCAAGCTTGAATATCCTGGACTGGTTCTATGCCCTGAGCCAGTGACCTTTAATGGCAGTGTGTTGTATTGAACCCAGGACTGCTTGTCTGCTAGGCAAACCCTCTATTAAATGAGCTATATTCCCACCTCCATGACTCAGAAGACTCTCTATAGAGAGGTGGGAGGGTCCCTTGGATCCAAGAGTTTGAGGCCAACTTGGGTAACATTGTAAAACCTTGTCTTATAAATAATAATAATGTATAGTGGTGGCTCATGGCTTTATTCCCAGCACTCGGGAAGCCGAGGCAAGTAGATCCCTGTGAGTTTGAAGCCAGCCTGGTCAACATAGCAAGTTTCAGGTCAGCCAGGGATACATGGCGACATCTTGTCTAAATAAATAAAAAACAAATAAACACCCTCTGAGCTATTTCTTTCATGCTATTTGGTGAAGCCCTCTTCTGTGAATCTGGCATGGCTTCTTTCTGGTTATGATAATTATGTAACTGGTTGAACCATCCTCTTCCCAGGATTCCAGGAAACCTGGAACCAGTGTGAGGGTCAGGTCCTACACCTTTGACACCTCTTACTGCCTCTGTGATTGAGTTTTCTTACCAGCTCATGGTCTTCTGCTGTCTTGACATCGTCTCTGGCCCTCAGGTCCTCCTCTCTCGTCCTCTTGCCCTGGTCTCCACCTACATCTCTCTCAGTTTTCATTTCCTGTAACCTTAGATCTCTGTTGATGCCCAGGGGTCTCTCTAAAGACAAGCGGCACAAATAGCATTTATCTTGTCTGGCACATTGGCACGGTGTTTACTCACAGTGCTGGGTACATCTTGTGGTATCAGTCTACGTCATTGGCCCCACCTAGTATTGCTCCATCAACAGGTGTCACTGTCATAAACATCAGGCTGAGGTCACTTCACAGACTCTGTGGACCATGGCCTCAGAGGGCAGACAGGTTATAGAGGCATGTTGGAAGCCTGGGAACTTGGTGTCCTAGTTGAAGCTAGATTTACTTCTGACTATGAGGAGTTTGATGGAGGAGGGGGACTGAGGAGAGGAAAAGAGGGCAGCCCCACTCTCAGGGTGACTTGGTAGCTACACCTTGACTTTGACTGGCTAGCCTCTGCCTGGACCTGGGCTTCTTTTCCTGTCTTCACATCAGTTAGCATGTGTCTCCAACAGCCTTTTTCTCTGAGTCATAAATATCATGGGACAAATGGGAAGGTAACTGGCTTCGTCCTGAGCACTGGCTTCTCCCACCGAGAAGAGTAGATGCTTCAGCTGTTGCTTTGGGTAGGAGATGAATTCTTGATTAGCCTCTTGAGTACAAGGCAGTGAACTAAACTGGACATTAGTTCAGTTCAGGCCTGAAACTGACCCAGGATAAGACCTTGAACAAGAGCTGACATCTCTTTGAACCCAGGTTTCTCTATAAAGAGAAACCTCTGCCATGGAGTCTTGGCTTGAGAGCTAAGAGATACACAAAGTTTATGAGGGCACACAGTAGGTGCTCCGTAAAGGAGACTATCCATCAGTTTTCTCCAGTCCTCCTGGGGCCAGACTCAGGAAGGCTGGAAGACCTGAGCCACCTTCCCCACTGATTCTTGTCACTCTAGTTAAATGCCTTTTCTGGTACACTGACTGGGGGTTGTATCTTATGACTCTCTAAGACTCGGTAGCATGTGTCCTTCAATTTCCAGCCTTGTGGGCCTCTGTGACAATGCTTGCTTACATAGGCTCTGGGTGTGTCTGACACTTCTCACCCAAACCCCCGGTGTATTACATCACTCCTGGGAGCAAGGGACCTCTCCCATATCCTAATGGCTCTCCTTCCTGTTTCCACTGTCCCCCTACAACAAATTCCTTTGTGGGCTGGGCCTTGATGGGACTCCGCCTTCCCTCCCTGCTTCTGCCAGGGGCCTCTGCTCCTGCTGCCCCCTTATATCCCAGTGAGGCGGGGCCTCTGTTCCAGCCACGTGGTTTAGATCCGGTTCCCTCTGCCCATGCTATTCCATTGGTGACTTTCATACCTACTAGGAACTCGGCATCCGGTTCCTCAAAAGGCTCTTTCTGGGGACATTCCTTCAATGGCCTTTTAGTCCACGGAGAAAATCCACTTAAACCTTCCCTCCGCAACTCCACATCTATCCCTGCTCTTCTCTCTTACTGGCCTGCAGGGGGTGGAGCCTCTCTTCCACCCAGGGTTTATTCTTTCATGTATTTTTATGTGGCCACAGTGACTTGCACCCCAATGGTTTATAACCAACTCCGGTTCCAGGAGTTCAAAACTCTCTTCTGGTTCCAGATACATACACAGTGCACTTAACACACATATAGGCAAAATGCCCATACATATAAAATAAAAGTGAACACATCTTGCCAGGCACAGGGGTGCGCATCTTTAATCCTGCACTCGGGAGGCAGAGGCAAGTGGATCTCTGTGAGCTTGACGCCTGCCTGGTCTACAAATGAGTGCCAGGTCAGCTAGGGCCACACGAAATCCTGTCTCAAAAAACCAAAATAATAAATAAAAATAAATAAATCTTTTTTTTTTGAGATAGGGTTTCTCTGTATAGCCTTGGCTGTGGGGGATGTGGAAATAAACCTGGTGGAGGAACGAGTGGGAAGGAGAACCAAGTGCCACAGGCTTTGTCCTGGTACACCCGTGAGACAATTCAAAGGGCCTGAGACCAGAGCGGTGGCTCCTTCCCCTGTCTTCACAGAAATCTTCCCGGATGACAGGCCCCTGCCTTACAGGCTCAAGGGCAGACAGGTCAGATTCAGCTAAACAACACATGTTGCGCCCAGATTTGCCCTTGAATACACAAACGTACCCTAATTGGCTGAAAAACTATATATAAGCTTATATGCTAAACAATAAAGTTAGATCTGCACCCCGGAGTCCAAACCCCAGGGACTCTTTGTGGGCTCCGCTTCCACTTTCCCCCCATTTCCTGGTCCCTGTTCCCACATTTGGCTGTCCTGGAACTAGCTCTGTAGAACAGGCTGGCCTTGAATTCACAGAAATCCACCTGCCTCTGCCTCCCGAGTGCTGGGATTAAAGATGTGCTCCACCGCCACCTGGCTTAAAAGAAATCATTTTTAAAAAGCATCATTTCGGTATGTAGCCCTAGAGCTGGGTTCTGGTATTGCCAGTTTTACAAACAAGGGCAAAGACCTGAGGAGTTGCAACATTCTAACTTTTCAGTGCAGCTCTGTGGTCTCAAACTATGTAATCTGGCTGTGATTCACGCTTGACTTTTGCCAACTCACTCTGCCTTTTCTATCATGGTGTTCCTTTGCTACTCACCAGCACGCTGTCCTTTGACCGTATTTGAGTGCCCGTGTTAGTCAACAGGGCCATATATTCCAGGCTGGACTTGAACGCACTACATAGCTGAGGAATGAAATCCTGATCCTCCTGCCTCCACTCCCTAAGTTTGAGGGCTACAGTTGTACATCAGCATCTCTAGTTTCTGTGGTGCTGGGGATTAAATGGAAGGACTCGTGCCTACTCGTCAAGCATGTTACAACTGAGCTATACCTCCAACCCATGAATGAACGTTTCTCAGTTTTTGGTCCTTGCCTTCCATCTTTTGAGACAGGGTTCTAGCTGTCTGTTGCTGAGGACTAGCTGGTCCGTGAACTAATTTCCAGGGACTGTCCAGTCTCTGTCTCCTAGTTCATCAGTGCTGTAGCAGGACTACAGACATGGGCTACTGGCCCAGTTTAACTTGAGTTGGGGGAATCTTCATGTTTACCCACTTGAGTTATCACCGCAGCCCAATTTGCTTTTTCATCGCTCTGACGAAATGTCCAAGGAAATGGTCTAGGGGAGGGAGGATTGATTTGGGCTCCCGTTTCCAGGATTTCTGTGCTCGGTGTCTCTGGGACTGTGGTGAAGTAGAACAATATGGAAGAAAGGGCAGAGGAGCACAGCTCCCCACCTCAGAGGAACCAAGAAATGGAAAGGCAGAGAGAGGAATTAGGGACAGGGTGGCCCCTTCACAGGCACAACCCACAACTAAGTCCTACATCCCAAAAATTACAACCGGCTTAGAATTGATCCATTGATTCAGTTAGAACCCTGGGACACAGTCACTTCCCAGAAGCCCCACCTCCGCAACCTCTGTACACTGACTGGAGACAAAACATAATTTGGGGAAAAACATTTCATATCCTACCCCTGACCTCCCACAAAGGCCTATATCCAACTCACAACACAAGATGTATTTAGCCCCCCCCCTCTCTCCCCCTCTCTCTCTCTCTCTCTCTCTCTCTCTCTCTCTCTCTCTCTCTCTC